AGGCCCCTAAAATGAATTGAAAGTGTTTCTTTTATAGGAGATTTCTAAGGTTGAGAGGAATGAGTCTTTTTTTTCTTTTCTTTTTTGTTTTTGTATTTTGAATTTTATGTATATATTTTTTGTATTTTAGTTATTTTTTATTTTTTTGTATTTTTAGTAAATTCTAAAATGAAGTAAATGAGATAAAATAAAATAAAAGGTAAGAAACAAATAAAATAATAAAAAATATGGAAAATTTTTAGACCATGATAAGACCGATGCATGAAATGACTCAAGATATAGGCCGCATAACTAATATCAAAACGATTGATGGTAGATAAAGCGAGATAACAAAAAAGGCATCGATATTGAATAGAATCAATATAAAAAGCACCGGAATCGGGATTAAGTTTATGCTCGTAGATGTATAGGTGAAGAGGTTGGCTTACAACTAGTCTAACCACATTCGACTAGGATGTGAAGAACATATTTTTATTAATTGAGAACAATTCTAGCTGGAGAATATGCATCTTCAAGACCTAAGAAATATTTGAGTTTGCCAAGGTCCTTAATATGGAACTTGGCATCCAAATATTGCTTGAGCTAAGATACTTTAGCTATGTCGGTACTCATAACAATGACATCATCTACATAAATAAGAATTGCCATGAGGAGACCTTATTGAGAAAAGGTAAACAAAGAATGATCGAAATCATATTGAAAAAATTCCACAGTTAGTAAGGATTGAGTGAATTTTTTATATCAATTTCGAGATGCTTGATGGAGTTCATAAAGGTATTTTTGAAGGCAACAAACCCGTTTCTTTTTTCTTTTTTAGCAAAACCCTAAGAAATTTTCATGTAAATTTCTTTCTCGAGATCACCATGTAAGAAATCATTGTTGACATCAAATTGATGGAGTTTCCAATTATGGGCATAAGCAATAGAAAGAAGACGATGAATCGTAACTCAGCTTCATAATTGGGGCAAATGTTTTTCATGAAAATCAATGCCCTCAATTTGAGTTACTCTTTGACACAAGAACAACTTTATAAATCTATTTCATAGCGTTATTGTAGTTGTTAAATTGGAATGAATTTTATTTTTCTTATAAGCGATGAAATAAATAACCGAAAATATATAAAACAAAATTAACAATGGTTTTTCAACCGTCACTAAAAATGACGCAACATTTTCTCATATTCAGCATTGATTTTTTTTGAAAAAATCACTAAAACTCGTCACTAATTAGAGACGATTTAGTGATAGTTTCAAAATGGTTGCTAAATTATCCATATTTAACGATGGTTTCACAAACCATCGCTAAATTCATGACCTCATTTCATTATTAAGCGATGGATAATAGATGTTTTAGTGATGGTTAATCCGTCACTAAATTAACGATGTTATAAATAAACCATTGCTAAAGATTTAGCGATAAGGTTTTTTTAGACGTTTTTAAATCATCGTTAATATTTATTAGTAACAATTTTTTGGGTTCTAGTGATTGTTTAAATCATCGCTAAATCCCCTTGTATTGATAATGTGTCTTAGGGAAGCCTAAGTCAGTAGCTGGAATTGCACTCGAGGAAATGGGTGCCGATTAAAAAGCTTAACGAGCCTAGGAATTCAACCCTTGGAGATTACCATTGTCTTCCCGTAATGGGTCCCCACTTTTCTCCTTGTCAAATACTAAATGGATTCTTAAATAATTTATCCTTCAAGGAGAAATGGATCGAAAACTGTTGCTAAAGGCAAAATCCCCAAATAGGATTACTTATTAGAGTGGTGTAAATGGTTGATATATACTCAAAGTCTATGTCTTTACTATTTTGAGAAAAAAAACTCATTAATTGACTTATAAATCAAAATAGATAAGTGAATGCAAAAACTAAAATTTGCGTAATTTTTTTATATGTTGTTAGAATTAGGGGTGAGCAAATGGTTCGGTTAACCGAAAACCGAATCAAACCGAACCGAATTATGTATTTTGGTTCGGTTTTAAACTTAAATTTACAAAATTAAAAACCGAACCGAAAAACCGAAATTATTTCGGTTCGGTTCGGTTTTTGAAAAAAAATTCGGTTTTCACCGAAAACCGAAAAAATTAAAAGCAAAAAAAAAATAAATAAATAAAAAATAAAAAAAATAAAAAAAATTAACCCTAATTGGCTAACTTCACTAAATCAAAATCAATTTTTAGCGGCGCCTCCCTAGCTCCCTATCCTTCGCTCCATCTTCTCCGATTCTCCTTCAGACATCACTTCATCAGTGCGGAGGAGGCATTCATGAATTCTAAGATTCTTAATTTGGTCAACTATCAATTGAAAAAATTAAATAAAGTTGATGACTAACCGCAATCAATTGTCTTTTACAAGTTTAGTTGTTTCTTTGCAAGACAATCAAATGAAATTAACTTACTATTGCAAGATGGTTTTAGGTTTCTGTGAGCTTGAATTTTACAAACCGAAAGAAAGTCTGTTTTAATTTTTTTCTACTCGCACAAAATTGCTAATGAAAATCTTTTAGACTACATTTTTTAGTGGGAATGATGATTGTAAAATTATTAGGGATGTTATATATATTGGTAACCTTTACCTTGCTTTATATATCTTGTTATGATAGTGATTGATGTTGGAAAATTATAATCTTCAACGGTGACTAATTCGGTCTAAAATTTTGTTTCCTGCGGTTCATTCCCAATGGCTTTTTAGCAAGATAAGCAAGGAGATCATAGAGGTCAAATTAAGAATTAGGATGTTGTCGGTGCTTGATGAGTTCGGAATAAGCAAAGAAGGAAGACAACTACATTTTTTTTCTTCTCTCATTTAGGACATTCGAGTGTGTCAATCTGTGATTAGGTAGCTGCAAAAGATATTTTCTATGTAAGAGCTTTGTTTTCTTATTGTGATTAGGTAGCCGCAAAAGATATTTCCTATGTAAGGGCTTTGTTTTCTTATTGTCTTTTTTTTTTTTTTAATAATAAATGGTGAAAATGATGGTGGCTTAGGACAAATAATGAAACAATGGTCTAGAATTTTTTTTTCGAGTAAAACATTTCGGTTAAAACCGAAATATTTTGAAACCGAACCGAAATAATTTGGTTACAAACCGAATTTACCGAATTTATTTTGGTTCGGTTTTGGTTTTTATTTTCCTTGATTCGGTTAACCGAAAACCGAACCGAATCGTACAAAACCGAACCATTTAACCGTTTGCTCACCCCTAGTTAGAATGGAACGATAACCTTATCACAAGGATAATCTAAGGTGATCATCGTTCTCTCTAATTATATAACCAATTTCATTAGCCAAAGCTCTATGGATTAATAATAGGTTCTTCTTAGTGTTTTTCTTTAAAAAAAATTAACACCTTTACATTTCGGATCATATCTTTCACGACAGTTTAAACATTCTCGTGTGACAATTACATTTATTGATATATTTTATTTATTTATTTAATGTATCAATTATAATATATCAATTATTCTTATTTAATATCGATTATACTTATGTAACTAGGTAAAGTAGTGTGTAAAGTCAAAGTCCCTTTAACTAAGATAGATACAAAAAAATATGATAGCTATAAATTATTTACCAAGAAAAGATGCCATCATAGGCATCACTAGTTTCAATAGGGCTTTATTCTTCTCTTTTAAAGGGCTCTTTTCTAGCCAGCTTTTCTCTTTATATTATTTTTTTTTCTTATACAAGTTTGTGAGGATAGTTTGAACTATGAAATTATATCAATGAGTGTCTTCGAATAACATGCTAAATTTGACTAATTTGTATGATAAATTCTTGGTTTTGTTAGGCGATTAGGATATTTAGTTATTGGTTTATACGTAAATCAAAATTAAATTTAAGTCATAGATGAATTAAAAGATATACTCACAAATCAATTTTGATACATTTAAAGAAATAATTAATCCAAATGTAACTAATTCTAAGGTTCAAATTTAGAAAAGTCAAGATTGAAATTATACCCATAAATCAACTTTGTACTATTTATTATTTATGTCGAGTAATTATCAAAATAAAAAAAAGAATAAAAAATTAAAAACAATATAATTGAATAATAAAAATTTTAAAGCACAATAAAACAATACAAATCGACGGTATTATAATTACAATATAAATTTTCTAGATAAAAATATGCGAAATCGAAGACAAAGATCTACGGATCATGCCCAAAACAAGGAGGATGCCAACAAGGAATAGAATCTATCCGCCATAGAAATCCAACATGGTGCTGCTAATTTTGACTTCAACCTATGGAGCCGTTTCCATAGTAATCCACCTTGTTCCGACTAGGTCTTGAAGGTAATACACAACTATCCTTTTATTTATAACTATAAGGTCTACAGTTTCTCGCATTTTTAATAAGTTAGTTAGTTTGTAATGCATGAGAATTTTTTTAAAATAAACTAAAACAAAGATAGAAACCAAAATAAAATTACAAGGAGAGGAATGTAATACCTTTATTTAAATTCAATACCAATAACCTTTATTCAATTCTTGGCTTCTTATGGGCTCGAACCGATCCATCCGCCATTTGAGAGTTTGAGGGAATCTTTGATTTTCCGAATGGAAAACAAATGAGAGAAAGACGTAAGGTTTCATGTTGAGAGATTATTTCTCGTGAGGATGAAATCAAATTAATAGTTAATGAAAGAAGTCCTACATATTTATGTCCTTCTTCGAGAATTGTTTAAACCACTTCACGAATTTTTGGCATGTCGTTTCAAGCCGTTTTCATAATCAATGTAGTAAAGCCCAAACCTTGAACCGTAACCGGATCCCCATTCAAAATCATCCAAAAAGGACCAAGCAAAAAACCCTTTAACATCAACACCATGGTCACCGCAAAATTCAATTCCTTATCAATTGCAGTCGATAATTTAGAAATACATATAATTTTTTAATATATAGAGAAAGAAATTCGAATCCTTATATTTTTATAAAACTACTTGTTTGAAAAGATATAATGACCTAAAGAACATAAATTTTGAAAAGGTTGAACTCACTTAATGGATTCCAAAACATTGTAAAAAATGTCTTTGTAAGATTTTTCTCTTATGGGATCATTAAGAGCTTCCTCCAATGATGAGGATTTCACGTCATCAACTCCTATATATATGTATCAAGAAATTAGAAAATCATAATCTATTAACAACTAAAACCTTAAACATATACATAGAAATATTATTATCAATATGATTAATTGTTGACTAGCTTTTATCTTACCATTTTCAGTGATGTATATTGTTGGATTTCCATACGCATCTTTTATGTAATTCAAAAGATGACGAATTCCTTCAGGATAAATATAAAGCCAACTTGAACCAGCCTGTAAATTTGATTTCTTAAATTTTATATATCAATTATGCAATTTGTTGAAACTAGCTAGAACTATCTCTAATTAAGGATCACACTCACCTGTGGACCAATTGGTATTCCATTTCTCTCCCCTATAAAATAGCAAAATAAATCAAATTAATTTTCCAACATTATAGCGAAAATTTAGAACTTTTATTTTTCTTAATTTCTTTTTATGTAATTATCTAGCTTTATAGTGATTTATAAATTTACCTGGCCAAGTAACACGAGCATCTTCCATAAACCCAATGTTTTTATAATTAACATCCTCAACATTCCGAGCGTAATATGTAGTATAGTAATTGATTCCAATAAAGTCATAAGATCCTGTCAGCATCTTAGATTCCTCTTCACTGAATTTAGGCAATCTTCCTCCAACATAGTCATGCATGTTCTGTGGATAGTCACCTTTAGTTAAAGGACTCATGTACCTGCCAAAAACATGCAAGGATATTTAATCAATTAGAATGATCATGCATGGTTTAATCCAAGTTGACTTTCCATTACTGTCTTACTTCATACAAAATACTTACCATCCAAGCATAAAGTCAAGGCTTCGTTTCATTGCATTCTGATCACCTTCTGTGTTTGAGTAAGGTTCAAACCAATGAGAAACGAGTGTTATTCCAATTTGTCCTCCTTGACAGGCCTAGTGATTTTGTCAACGTAAAAATTAATTAGCACAACTGCGTTTACGACTTGGGTGAAAAACGATGGCAAACCATATCCCAATAATTACATTGAAAAAATTGCAGTTTTAAGCTTTTGGAAACCTGATATTTTTCCTTGTATACTTTCACAGCTGTTGCGTGAGCAAGTAATAGATGATGGGTCACTATGTAAACCTCGGTGGCACCTGAGATTTTGGGTTGGCCTGTACATGAATTCTCCAGAGTTGAAATTCTACCAGGTGCTAATGTGCCCGTGTCATAACCATTGACACTGAACATGAAAGGCTCATTTAACGTGATCCAATTCTTCACTCGGTCTCCAAATTTTTGGAAGCAAAGTTCCACAAAGTCTCGGAAATCATTTCTATACATATATGAAAATTGAAACTGTTAGATTCAAGAGCTGTGAGAATAATTTTATTGTAATGAGCTGCTGAAAATCTTCTGCAAAGATACATAGAAATTTAAAAATCATGAGATATTTTTTATATAATATTAATTAATTAATATAAAGACGGTTACTTACAAAATGTTAGGGCTTAAAAAGCCACCATATCTATCTTCTAGTGCTTGTGGAGTGTCCCAATGAAAGAGAGTTACATAAGGCTGTATACCTGCGCATTACATAATATCAAATTAAGGTAGGATAAATAGATATTTTATCTCAATTAATGTGTGTTTTTAAAAGATTTTAGTGTCGAATTCTTATTTTCTAAGGACCAAATGTACGAAAGTTTGGAAAATGTAGACATTGAAAGTTAAGCAAAATAACAATATATATCATCAATCAAACTCGTCATCGAAGGAAAGGAAAAGGTTATAACCATTTCTTAAGAGCTCATCGATGAGATTGTTGTAAAATTGGATCCCTTCTTCGTTTATTCCTGCACTTAGTCTGCCATCTGAATACAATAGTTGAAAGGGGAAAAAAAGCAAAGTAAGGAAGAGTAGGAATTAAAGAAAAAAATAGAAGGGAAAAAAAATACTTACATGGTAACACTCTAGACCAAGAAATAGAGAATCTGAAAGCATCCATTCCCACTTTCTTCATTCTTTGCACATCTTCCTGTAACATTTTATTAAAATAATTAAATCCATATACATATGGTGGTCGCATCGACAAAAACAACTATAAAAAAAAAATTGATAAATTAATTCATACCTTGTAGCGGTTATAGAAATCAACTGCCACATTTGCATTACTATGGTCGCTTATCCTCTCTGCAATTTTTCACAAGTCATGCATCCTTAAATTAATTCCTTTGAATTTTGAGATAAAATTGATACATATTTATATATAGTAGCAAACTCCTTCACTAATAGAGAGAGATATATACATACCTGGATGCTCCTCAATGAAAGTGTCCCATATGTTGGGCCCTTTACCACTTCTGTTTGTTTCGCCTTCATACTGCATAAAATAAGTGTTGTTAGAAAACAAGTCTTGAAGCATTCCTATCTTCAATCATGCATGCATATGCGAGTGACATTTGCAATGCCAAGTAACTTCATCAGCTAATCTCAGAATTAAGATTTTTTTTTTTTTTTAACAGCGTACGCATGGGATGAGGTTTAGAGAAATGTTTAATTACCTGGTAGGCCGCTGAGGAAGATCCGAAAACAAAGCCATCTGGAAAGGAATAACGACTCAACTTGCCAATACTTCCCATAGTATAGTAGTAAGTTTTGTTATGAGTTGTACGTACGTACCACACTCTGCCAACTTCGGTGACCTAATGTACCTAACTAATGTTGGGTGAAATCAATTAGGACTGAATAAAAGAATGTATATTAATTAGCTGACAATGAATACAAGAATAAATGAATGTATAGGTTTTTGTTGCAGGTTGAATCTAGCTGATGAATCAATTGGATTATAAAACATCAGCATGCATGCTGCGCGCTATTTATAGGCATCCCGAGGCTCCGTACTTCGAAGCTGGTCAAATTCAACTTCTTTTTCTTTTTCCCTTACTTTGACCAATCAATGAAAATTTGAATTCGAAACTTCCTAGTCATTGGATAGGAATTTACTATGACGAAATTCGGGGCGTTACGAACACCAAATGTCATGATTGCATACTGTAATTGTTTGCGGATATTTGACCAAGAAGAGAAAAGTCACAGGAGTCAATATAAGAATATTCAACCACGCACATAATTTTTTCTTGTCCAATGGCAATAATGAAACAAAGCAAAACTTGACAAGCTTCCATCCCGGGAAGAGTTGAAAGAATGGTATTATATGTTGAACTTTGGCATTCGCACATGAAGTATATTCCTTTTGGCTTCAGTTATTTCAATCTTTCGATTTATTTAAAAAAGGAAAGAACAGAAAAAAAAGACATGAAGTAAATTCTAGCCAATAAATAATTGGAACAAGTATGATGTTTTTCTTAACTCTGTCTCATTACCTTTCTAGCCAGGATATTTGCCAATCCATCCATGCATGTTCGGAAATTGGTATAACAAAATTTTCAATTCTTTATGTTGATTTAGTCTAGTCAAGCACAATATATATATATATATATATATATATATATATATATATATATATATATATATATATATGATCTTATCTCAAAGATGATATTTAATATTTCAATCCTCATCCATTAGCCATCCCTAACTCGTTTATAGAAAATTTAAGTCCCACAAGAAACCTACTATATATAAAATTGTCCATGTGTTATTAGTTGAAAAACTCAAAAGTTAAAAAAAAACTAAGGATATGAATTTAGAATGCCAAACCTATTATATAGAATATCAAAAATTGAGATAAAACGGAGATACTTTCTCATAAAATTTTATTAGTAAAAAAAAAGATATTTTTTCTATCTCAAAGTCATACATGAATAGTAAATTTCGACCGAAACCCTAAAGCAATTAAAAAATATATATATTAAAAATCCAAAAAATTAGAAAAAATTGCGAAAAATAGTAAAAATGGATTTTAAGGGCCTAAACAATGTTTTTTGGCCAAAATCACTCCTATGTCATGAGTGTTTAGTATCGAACTAGGTCAAAAAAATCTTAGAATTGGGCCAACAATTTTTGTTCGACCTTCTATTATGCTCATACCATTTCATGAATTCCAAAGTACATTGGTTTGCATCACATCTTTAGATGGCACGGAAATAATTATTTGCAATATATTTTATGCAAGATGAAGTATGTTCATATTAAAAATTAGTGCAATCTTAATTTTGCACCAAAATTTTTTATATTTTAAAAATTAATTGAGGATATGAATTTAGAAGCGCGATATATATATATATATATATATATATATATATATACAGATTTAAAGTATATGAATAAATATAAAAATATAAAAAAAACCACTTAAATTGTATAATATATTGAAGTCAATAGATTAAAATAAAAACTATAAAAAAAATTAGTTCGATAAATTCTGAATAAATATGTATAAAAAGAAAATAAAACTTATAAATTTTTTGAACACCTTATTATTTGTTTAGTATTTATATCAAATAATTATCAAGTAATTATCAAAAAATAAAAAATGATTGAATAAAAAATAGAAAACAATATATAAAATCACATGACATAAATTCAGAAGCACAATAAAACAATACAAATCAATAGTACTATAATTACAACAATTGAAATTTTCTAGTTAAAAATATGCAAAATCAAAGTCGAAGATCCACAAATGTTGAGGACAAATAAAATGTTAGCAAGAGATAGAATCTATCAGACATGAAAATCCAATATGGTGCTTCTAAGTTTCACTTCAGCGTCAAAACAAGACGTCCAACCATTTGGGCAAATAATATTGTTTTTAAGAGAAATGATTTTCATCTTTCTAATAAAATATAATCAATTCCTTACCTCTAATTACTGAAAAATTAACTATTTAGGTTTTCAAATCTCCTTTAAGTATTAGGCAACAACTCTAATTTTTTACTTTTTTAATTAAGAGATCTTATATATCAATAGTGACATAAATGTACCCTGAGTATCGAAGAGTTACAAATAAATACTAGTGTTGTGTGAGTTTTGTATAATTTTACTAGTAATTTGTAATTTCTTACTTAATTTTTGTTTAAAACTTTTTGTTATGGAAATTAAAATTAAGATGGAAGCCATATTTCTATTCGAGATATTTTAACTTCAAAGTTTTTTTACATTAAATCATCAATGAAATATTCTACTCAAATTAAGGCACTAGAATTTCATCATGTATTTCCTCATTAGATAAAAATTTTAATGTATTCAAAGAACACAAAAGTTGAAAAATTTTAGTATAATAATTTAGGGTTGAAGAATTTTTCCTACTTTCAAACTTTCAATTTTCCAATTAAGAATTACTCATAAATTTAATTCATTAAATATTTTTTACAACCTTTATTTAGATTTACCCATAATTGATTTCCTGTTTATTTTATTTTATTTTATTACTTTTTAATTAATATTTAGATATTTCACAAAATTTAAAAATGAAATTAAAATTTACACCCATTTTTCATTATTAATTTAAAATAAAATGGACAAAAGGAAAAATTGGAGTAGGAATGAAAGATATGAAAAAACATTGAAGTAGAAATGAAAATATAGATGCTAATTAAAACAAACTGAAGATTTTAAGTGAAATGCTGAGATAATACATTAAACTACAAATTAAAATTTACCCCCCAAAAAAAAAATTGCAGTTAAGGTGTGTATGTGTGTGTGGAGGTGGTGATCCTTGTGCATGCCGAGGGCTAGCTGTGACGTACGTGGCTGCTGCTGCTGGTGGTCCTTCTATTGGATAACACCACACATGCCTCCGCTAGCTGACATGACATAGCCTGTGTATCTTTGTTACTGAAGGTGCCCCACGTGTTTTCCTTCTCTTTTCTTCGTCATCCCATCTATATGTCTATTTTATTGGATTCGTGTCATTTAGCATATGCTTAATGCTTTTGCTTCTCTCTCTGTTTATTGGTTCTTTCTATATTTTTCAACCTTAGATGTGGGTTTTCAATCTCCACTGCATGATAAACTACGTAACATATTAACAAAATAAAGTTACAAACACCAAATGTTATGATTGCATACTGTACGTAATTGCTTGTTGATATTTGACCAAGAAGAGAAAAGCACTGGAGTCAATATAAGAATATTCAACCACGCACGTAAATATGGATCAATTTATTTACAAACACCAAATGTTGGAATTGGTCGTTGTCGGAGTGGAATGATGAGAAAAGAGTTCGAAAAGATTAATGATTGTAGGGCGTTTTACTCATTCTTTCGTTTGTATATAGCTCTGCTTTCTTTTCATTTTTTTTATTACCTTTTTGAAATAAAGTTATTAAATTATATATTTTTTACATTTACAGTTGAAGAAAAAAGATACACAATAATTTTTATTTTTTTCTAGCATTTTGTTAAATCGATCATCGGATCTTTCTATCGAAAGACATGACAGTTTAATATCGGATCCATTTTAAACCTCGATATAACTAGTATATCGAAAAACGACATAATTGTTAAAATATGCTTGATGTGAGTTAACATCGATCCTTAAAAAAAAAATGTTAAATTTTACCTAATATTCTCCATATATTTTCATTTCTTTTGTTTTTCTTTTCTTTTTTATAGTTTTATTTTTACCTAGCATCTCTCTCTCTCTCTCTCTCTCTCTCTCTCTCTCTCTCTTTTTCTTTCTTTTTTTCTTTGTCATTTTTCCTTCTTTTTTATTTTTCTTTTCTTTTTATTTTCCTAACATTCCTTTCTTTCTTTTTTTTTATTATTTGTTGATGGAAAATTATCATCAATCCCTAAAAATTAAAAGATTCGACAATTCATCCACCTATTAATTACCTAACCTAATTATTGAAATAAACTCTCAAATTAAACATTAAATAAATAAATTTCAAGAAATCCAAAAAAATTAAATCCAAATTAAGCAGGAAATAAAAATGTCTAAATAAAAGACATTGAGGATCAATTTATCTATAAAAAAAAAATGCAATTAAAGCATCGAGCTTTTTTTTTGTTTCAGGTGTTAGTGGGCCCTCGACCCACTGGGATGGCCCAACTACACTGGTAGCCTCTCCATTTCTTTTTTTTTTTTTTTTTTGCAGGTTTGGGCTGGGTTGGCCTCTTTTTCGGGTTGATTGGGCTTGGCCTAACTCACCTTTTTTTTTTTTCCTTTATCTGGCTTGGACCCAATCCACCAACACACTTCCATTTCTTTCCTAAGTTTATTTCAATAAAAAAGAGAGAAATAATATATCAGAAGGTGTCAAAGATCTGACGGGTAAAGAGGCGCCAGTATAACCACGGAGAAACATGACATCATGTCCATGCCCATCTTAGTACGGCCTCCAGGTTCTAATTAATTAATATATTCAATAATTAGTCGCACTAGAGTCTTGATTAATTGTTTTAAGTTGTGACCAGGTGGTTTTTGTTTGTTTCTCCCCGTTTTTATCAAGATTTTGATGCCTGTGAATTTCTTTTTCCCTTCAGAAACAGTAAGAAATTTTATGATTACCAGGATTAATTTTTTTCTTTTCAATGTTTTATTCCGATTATTATTTCTCTTTTTTTTTTTTTTTTCCGACAATGGCAATTGCCACTATAGAAGTCTTGGTTCCGATTGCTATTTCTTTTATTGAAGATTTTTTTTTTTTTTTAATGCCTGTGAATTTCTTTTATTCCGATTATTATTTCTCTCTTCAAGATTTTGCCATTAATGCTTACTTTACTTTGGCCACAAAAAAAGTCTTGGTTCCTAACTTTTTTGGATCTGTATATTCTGATGCAGGAATTGTTGGACAAAGAACACAATACCATTAAAACCTGCCGATTTTAAGAGCTTAATCTTGAGTTAATGGATCCCAAGTGAAGAACAGCAAAGCAAGGAACCCATGTCAACTTGTTTGCTAATGGAATACTGTTTAGCAGATCTCTAGCTTCTCAAATTACTCGCACAAGTTACAACATCAATGCTTCATAACTCAGATTAAACAATCGAGCTTGTTATTTGTCGATCCACAAAAAGGTGTATTACCTTACCTCAGATGCATCGAATAACAAGAAAGTTAGAGCCATGAATTAAAAAGATCGAAGATGAATTAAAACGAGCAAAAAGATCGAAGAGCTCATCATCGTGACCAAACGAGAGCAAAGAACCTTCCATGAATTCCTTCTGTTTTGAATCCAAAATGATCATAATGAACGTCCAAATAAGAAGTGCTCAAAATAAAAATAGCTGCTAATCATCCATTGGTTTTAAAGTATTACTTGGATAGCATCACATTCTTTCCATCTAATTACACAAATATTATGATTAAGTAATACTGATTTCAACCTTTTGTTCCCCGACATTATTCTTTCCATCGTATAATATAAGAAACATCAACCTTTTGTACAAATCTCACTGATTTCAATGTCAAATACTCAGGATCATCTGGCCCTCTCTTCACCTCTTGCAAGACTTCTGTTCCTCACCATCATTCTGGCCAGAAGGTTGTCTCTTCCTTAAGAACATGAAGGAATTTCTTCCAACTCTGGAAGCTGTGATGTTGTGTGCCTATGTAATTTGGCCTGATAGACAAAATTGGCAGAGAACGTGAAGAAAATTCCGATTGTTTTACTTGTTTGTGTATAGTTAGATGTATTTGCATTCTAAGAACTAGAAAGGTTGAGCCTTTTTACCCTGAAATCTAACAGTACCATTATTCGTGCTTCAAGTTCTGTTTTTGGGCCCCTGCACTCAACTTTCCATTTATGACTAGGATCACACTTCCATGCATGCACTTCTGGGGAGGGGTACCTCTGTCAAATACAGCAACTGGAGTATGTGGTGGCAGACTATAATCTTGGCTGCTGCAGCTAAGACTCCAAATCAGGAGCAACATCACCGCTGTTAATTTGGTTACAGAGGAGGATGATATTGAATCGCAGAGGTAGCAGCAGAGTGCTTTATCAGCTGAGAAATGAAAAGAAAAAATCTAAAATCACCTTAGAATAAGCACAGGAATATCTTGGATCAGAGCATGACACGAATGAAGATTAGAGAAATAATGTTGGATCAAATTCAACGCTTCGCAGCAATCAGACTCACTGATAACTTCTCTATATATCCCAACTCTCATAAGTGACTTAAAACCTTAGGAATGGCTTGAAGCTCCGCGAACATATTAGTATTCACCCCAATGACGAAAATCCAGAAATCCATTGACCACCAACATCTCTAACAATACCACCAGTACTTGATCTCCCTGGGTTACCTAGACAACTCCCGTCCGTGTTAATTTTCTCCACGCCTTCTGGAGGAAAGTTCCAAGCAAACCCAATTTACCTGATGAGGAGAACCTGACAATGGATCACCAAAGAAAGCAATCCTACAGGCCTCCTCCACATTAATAGACTGGTAATTCTGGGCAATAACGGAAGTTGATACACCCAGGGCCAGGATAGCTTCCTTGTTTCAATTAGCACACCAAATTAGCCTGCAAACTATAAGAAACTTCCTTTTCCGACTAGCCAACATTTCCTTGTCACAAAAATTCTGATTCAACCAATCTGTCAATGCAAGAGTGACGAAAACAGAGGCTAGACTACCTCCAAAATTCTGCACCACACCGCCCGAGCCCAAAAACAACCTCTGATTGTAAAGCTATAGTGTTTTCTCGTGTCATGTGAATTTTCAAACTAGCTCCGAACTCTTTAGGGAAAGTAACTGAATTCTAATTTAACAAATGCATACCTTTCCCATCATCAACAGAGCCCCAAAGAAAACCTCTAGCAATTTTATCCACCTACTGTGGGGAGCCAACAAGATTGCATAGGGTACAAGGGGATTGTAGTTAACTTAGATTGCACCAGATCACCAACGTAGCCCGCCATGCCTTGTTTAGTAATTTTCCCTTCCAACCAGAAGTCTTTCCCGGATTTTATCAAAGAGGCCAAGAGATCGTTTCTCAACAAGTGATCAGATAAATCCAGTAAGAAAACTCAGAACCTTGCAACACTCTTTTGATGATTTCCATTAGCCATTGAAATGGAATAATTCTTGGCTCTTGAAATGAAATGAATTATACTAGAAGTTAGCTAAAAAAAAAATATTTTCCTTTCTTTTTTGGGGCTTTCTTTTTTATTATTATTATTCAACGGGATGTTCAATAGGCCATCCCAGATGGTTCGATGGATCTTCCATTTCTAAGAAGCACCAGAGTCCAGACCAAGCCTTAAGAATCCTAATTAGACAAATGGTGTGTATGATCTGATCAAGGCATCGATCCGCTTGAAATAGAGGTTGAAAATTAATAAATCAACTTGGTATCATCTGCAACACATAAGAAAAACTAATATGTTTAAATTTAATCATCTCAAATATACAAAAACTTACAAAATTCAACTCAATCTCAATTCCCCCAGGAAAAAAGAAAAAAAAAATCGCTTTACACAACCTATAAAATCAAGACTGTATACTCTTTGTGAATTGTGACAACTCACTTTAGGATTAAATACAATACGTAGGTGCTTCCTTTTAAATCGTGAAGTGTCTGTAAATTAATGAGGTTGTAGACCCCTTTGCTTCCTTGTTTTCCCCACAAACAAGTCTCTGGATTTGATCATACCAGGAACAATGCCACTGATGGTTGTGAAAGGAAATTGTGCTACAGCATCCCTTCTCCCCAGTGAAACAAGTGCCGTGGTTGAACCAGGTTTATAAGTAGACATTTTTCGTTCTTTGCCTGTAGCCATCAATAGCTTCAAATTCTCGGCTGCCACTGAAGCATGTTTCTGTGCCAAATACCCTTGTTTGATTTCCTGTTAGATAATATTTCATAAAAAATGAACATCAGTTTCATTATTGAGTACCATAGATTCAAAAGACCATATTCTATTATAACAGGCATTCTCAGCTTATGAAAACTAATATACCATTCTTTCTTTAGAATTACATGCAACTCTGGTCTTCAGTCTTCGTTATTTCAACAATTACCTTATTCACTATCATCATACAGATGGCAGTGCTCTGATGACATCTACGATATATGTGACATTTTCTCATTTAGCTGCACGCTTAAAGCAGCCTAGCTAAACTGGACTATGATTTTGGTCACTGTAAAAGCTGGTTTTTGAATCCTCCTTCAGCCAAAAATGCACATTGTTGCCAAATTAAACTAAAAGAGTAGAAGGGCAATGACCCCGCCTAAAATATTATCCACTGGTTTCATCATCCATTCAACTCATATTTATTACCGAAAACAACTTTAAAAAAGAAACAAGTTAGGTTCTTCTGAACTCCTTTAGTCAGGGTTAGTTACCAGTTGACAACAGAATAAAATTTTCTCAAATAATGGTAAGGAAATTTTCTACTAAAATAGAATTCTTGTTCAACTAATTCAATTTAGTTAAATTTTCTTAAGTTTCCCATTGGCCCATTAATTCGAGCCTGCAGATATTAGTGACATAATTTATGGCAAATAAAAGCATCCTAGCAATTAAAACCAACCCAAAATCAAATATTACAGATTGGGGTTAGAACTTACTGGAATATCAGTAATATCTCCGATTGCAAATATATTTTTCCGACCTTTGACCCTCAAATACTCATCAACCATCAACCTTCCCTGACCATCCAAGATATTCTTCAAAATAGTATCCTCAAGCCATTCTGAACCAAGTGGTTTCCCCGTGCATAGGAAATGGCAATCTGCTCTGATAGTTTCTCCAGCTGAGGTGTGATATGTTTTGGTGTCATTATTATTTGTAATAGAGTTCAAATCAACTTTCTGCTCCAATTTCACATTAACTCTCTTCGATGTCAACCATTGTAGTGTCTTATCGGAAGCTTTTGGCCCAATAAATTCCAGCAACCTTGATCCGCTATGCACCAAAGTAACCTGTTTTTCTGGGAAATCAACAGCAATCTCTCCAGCAAGCTCAACACCAGTGGGACCCCCTCCAACAATCAAAACAGACTGAGCGGACTTAATCTTTTGATTTTCTGACAAAAAATTAAACAAGCAGAAAATACAGCTGAAACATTCTTCAGGGACAATGTGCAACCTTCTATATATATATATATATATATATAATCCATGAAGGATTATCATACAGATGAAATTCACCTATTTGCAAAATCACAATGTGTTTTCCTTGTGTGGTTAAGAATTTTTCTCTTCCTTTCCCCCTTTTCCCTAAAATTTAATGCAATGGAGACTAACATAGCAAATTACAAAATGCAACTCAGTTCAATAAATTAGAAAACATAAACATGATTGACTCAGCAGGAATCATTCAAAACCATTAGCTTTAGGAAAAAAAAAACTCGGACCAGATATTGCTCGACATGGAGTTGCATTAGCAGCCTTAAAGCTAAATGAACTTAACTCGTTGGATTATGCACTGATAATTGCTATAACTAAACCTGCATTTTGCGAACTTAATTAAGGCATAAATTACTGTAGATTTTTACCTGCTTGGTATTGGTCAAGTCTTTCCATCCTAGTTTTCGGGACTGGATCCCTGTGCCCCGTGGCAATGACAAGATAGTCATAGGCAATGGAACGGTCATCTGCTGTCAATACTTCTGTTTCAGTTATGCCAATTGCAGTAGACGTAACAATACGGCCATTTGTGAAGTAATCTCTATGATTGATCACCGATCTCTCCCCAAATGATGGCTCGACCATTGTTCTCAAGCTTGCCCATGTTATCTCAAAATACTCCTTCCTGATTTCAAATTAATTTCCAGTTAGGAATTAGGACAAGTAGTTATTCTAGTTTCTTGAACAGCAGTCCGAAAAAGTACATTCATAAAACCAACTAATGGACAAATTCCAATCAGTTATTAGGCTTGTTGTACTTCATACAGTTAGCTACTGCTAAGCTAGGATTAACTTAAACCCAACACAACATTAAACATCATTCTTTGAAATATTCATTTATCCAACAATAAAACATACATGGGGTTGTCCCAAATTTTACGGGTATTTTCCCATTTCAACAGACAACATAAAAAATAAAAAATAATTCACAAACATTTACCAATAACAAAAAAACATAATTACTTGGTAATAAGGAAAGAATCAAGATGATAAAAGGGAATTAGGAAAAAAAATATACGGATCAATAAAGGTGACATCAGCATGAAATTGGAGAGATTTGGCAAGCAAGGAACCAGCAATACCCCCTCCAATCACCACCAACCTCCTTCTCTCTGTACCCGTTTCTTCCATTTTGCTATTAGCTTCTGCAGAAATGAATTTTGGTGCTTTTCTTGAAAGAGACGTGAGAGAGTTTATAAAGAAGAGGGACGAAAGTCAATGGAATTTGCTTATAATGTTGCTTTGTGAAGAAGAAAACGGGGGAATCTTGAATTTTAGTTTCATATTTACCAGGTCATGTTGGCTGTCAGGCATTCAATATTCCTTATCTGCATTTCTTTTCTTTTCTTTTCTTTTCCCAAGTTTAGATATAAGGGGGAAAATGTGAGGTTTTTTATTTTATTTTTTATTTTTCTAAAAAATAGTGGTTAATAACGTCTTCTTCTTTTTAAAAGAAAAGGAGACGAAGAAGAATTGGGAAATGGTAAGTACTATTTCTAAAAATAAATAATAAAAATTGTAATTTTTGCTTTTATAAAAACATTCTGTTTAGTTTTGCACTAACAACCAAAAATAGTTTTTTATTATATAATAATCATGAAATAAATTGTAATTATTAAAACTAGAACTTATTTTATTAAATGAAGTTATCAAATTTATAAATTAATTATTAAGTTATAAAACTAGAACTCTAATGACAATACTTATCTTCCTAAATAAAAATATTGCAAGTAGTAATGTTAATTTTGAGCTTCTTAAAACAATTAATTATTATTTAAAACATTACGACGTGGGCCATTTGGAACGTCTCCAACTCATTCCTTCTAGATGACTTTTGGTATTTGAAAGATTCAACAACATAATTAATTGATCGTGGCTCTTAAGTTTAAACAAATTGCTACAAGGTTTGATTGGTATTTTTGTGGCTTTTTTATTTTTCTATTATTTAAAAACAGTTTTCCAAATTTTCGGTTAATCATACTAAATTTTACTATCTTTTTTTCCATGTCCTCAATTGTTATTTTTTCTAACATTTTTTTAAAGTTGTTTTCAAATTTTTGAAACCGAAAAAAAAAAGAAAAAACAAAGGCGTTCAAATATACCCAGTGGGCCTGGATTTTTGTTCATATAGTTAGTCTATTTTCAATAGAAATTTTAGCGAACTTTAAACTAAATAAATGGGAATTAGTCCACAGACGTTCATATAAATCTTCATCCCAATTCTTTAAAGAATTTTGAACCTTAGACAATAGTATTATTTTTGTAGAATATGCGTGTGCGAGTGTGTGAGCATATATAAAATAGTAATTGGTAATTCAAAATCCCCCTCCCAAAAATAGAGTAAAATATAAATTAGTCCCTTTAGTTTTAAGAAATAAATTAATTAGTCCCTCTTATTTCAAAAGCTAATTATTTAATTATTTTTATTTATTTTATGTTTTTAATTTATTTTAAAAAATAAAAAAATAAAAAATTGATATTATAAAAAAATTAATTAGTAAGAATATTTTTAAGATGAAATAATATTAAATTAAACTAAACGTGATAAATATGAATTAAATAATTGATTCTTAAAACAAAAGTGAGACTAATTAATTCATTTTTCTATTCCAAAGGAACTAATTTATTATTTACTCCCCAAAAATGTCACTTTATAAGGGGTAAAAAAGCTAGTGCTTAATTAACATCAACTATCTCGTATCATTTCTTGAGTATGGGTTGGCACAATTAGGAGAACAAGAATTACACGAGCTCGAGCAACACTCTCTCACAAATACTGTAAAAAATAACTAAAGGCTGCCTTTGAAATATACCAAACAAGCATGTACATGTTCTGACAAATGAAGAAATTATGCATTTGCTAAATGGGAACAAAAAAAAAAAAAAAAAGAATTGATAACGGACTAAGAGCAGCTCCCTTCAGTCCATATATATGTGCTTCCTTTGAACTCATGATCAAGGATCTATAAATGAGGCTATACACCCCTATCCTTCCTTGCTTTCCCCACAAACAAGTCTTTGGATTTGATCAAACCAGGAAATCTGCCAATCATGCTTCCAAATGGTAATTGGACTACAGCATCTCTTCTTCCCAGTGAAACAATTGCCATTGCTGCACCTGGTTTATAACTGGACATTTTTCCTTCTTTCCCTCCCATCAATAGCTTCAAATTATTGGCTGCCAATAAAGGATGGTTTTGTGCTGCCACCCCTTGGTTGATATCCTGTTAGATAATCATATATTAATTATAAGTTTATAAATTAGATTTCTTTTACGGTAAATAAAACAATCTTAGCAATTAAGACCAAACCAAATGCAAAAATTATAGATTTGGGTTAGAACTTACTGCAATGTCAGTAATATCTCCAATTGCAAATATATTGTTCAGACCTTTGACCCTTAGATGCTCATCAACCATCAACCTTCCCTGATCATCCAACTTATTCTTCAACATGGTATCCTTAAGCCATGCTGAAGCCAGTGGTTTCCCTGTGCATAAGAAATGGCAATCTGCTTGGATAGTTTCTCCAGCTGTGGTATGATATATTTTGCAACCATTACTATTCGTAACAGAGTTCAAATCCACGCTTTGCTCCAATTTCACTTCAACTTTCTTCCTTGCAAACCACTTTAGTGTCTTATCCGCAGCTTTTGGCCCAATAAATTCCAGCAACCTTGGTCCATTATGCACCAGAGTAACCTGTTTTTCTGGGAAATCAACAGCAATCTCCCCAGCAAGCTTAACACCACTTGGGCCGCCGCCAACAATCAAAATGGACTGAGCAGACTTAATCTTTTCATTTTCTGCTAGGTTAAAGACCAAAAAAACCGTTAAACAAGCAGAAAAATACAGTACTGGAATGTTTAATATATATAGATTTGGAACTCTGTGTCTGTTACTCTGTCTCTGTGTGTGTTTTTTGTTTTTTTACCTGCTTGGAATTCCTTAAGTCTCCCGGCCTTGGTTTCTGAGACAGGATCCTTGTGGCCTGTGGCAATGACGAGATAGTCATAAGGAATGGAATGGCCGTCGGCTGTCAATACTTCAGTTTCAGTAATGCCAATTGCTGTAGATGTGACAATGTTGCCATTTGTGAAGTAATCTTTGTGGTTGATCACTGATCTCTCCCCAAATGATGGCTCCACCATGCATCTCAAGCTTGCCCATGTGACCTCAAAATACTCCTTCCTGATTTCAAATTTCTTTGCAGTTAGGACAAGAGGATAACAACTTGTAGTAAGTAGAGAAATCTTCCATTGGGTTATCCAGCTGGTTTCTTAAACTAACAGCAGGGGCGGATGAGAATCTATATGACCAAGGGGGAAAGTAGCCCTCTTAAGTTTTTCAAAGAATTCATAATGGCCCTTATTCGTTTTAGGAATTGAAATTTGCTCCTGTTCTTTCTAGACATTTGCCTCCTTAATTTTTGAAACTTTTGAAACTTTCGACTACAGAATAGTATTTATTTATTTATTTATTTTATTATGAGTAGTATTTTGTGGGTGGAGGGTGGGATGATTTGGCCTAAAAATACTTATTAGAACAATATATTGTATAATAATAACTAACGTAAAAATGTTTTCATCTTTGCTCCTTTATTTATGATTTCTAACTCCATGCTTAGCTACCAACCACTAACACAATATTGTTGAATTGTAAAGTTAGAAACAGTGTAGAATAAATCTTTCTTTGAAAAAAACGTATATCAAACATAATTTAACGAAAAAACCTCATCAGTTATCAGGCGTTTTGTACTTTTTAACAGTTTGTTGCTTCTACGCTTAATTAGAATCGAAACAGAAGTACCCAACACAAGACTAAACATCATTGTTTCAACTTTTCAATTTTTCCAACAATAAAATAAACATGGGGCTGTCCAAATATTATCCCATTTCAACAAAAAATTAAAACCATCTTATCTTTATGTTTTTTTCTTTTTCTTTTTTTTTCCCCCTTTTGGTCAATCAGTAGCCCCACCTATTGAAAATTTTATGTTTTCAACTATTTTCAAATAAAGTTGTGCATTAGAAAAATATTTCAAATAAAATTTGGCATTCTCGTTTCATCAATTAGAAAAAAAAATTGTTCATATTAAATTTTTTTATAATTCTCCATGATAATGTTCATATTTTAGAAAAATTGTATGATAACTTTATTGTTGTTGTTAAAAAAAGATGTTATATAAATGGAAAAATATATTAATAATATCTAGAATTAAATTATCAAATTATAATTGGAATAGATTAGATTCTGTTAGATTGGAAATACGTACAATTATTAAAAGGGCTTTGAGGGGAAAAAAAACAACTTAATAACAACTAAATGATTGTGTTGTTCAAAAAACAAAAAAAACACAATGAAAAATTGTGAACGAAAAAATAGTTGCACGAAAAATGGATCCATTTAAAAAAAAAAAAAAAGAAAAAAAAATTATTAGAGAGAAAAAAAAGTTGAATTTTATCAGTCAATTAGAGGTTTTCAATAGTTTCAGTAAGGTCAAGCTAGTAGAAACACTAAAAAATATCGATTACGATTAATTTAGTAGTATTTTTTCAATCACTCGGTAAGTATAGTTTTATACATGGTTTTGACATTCGTGTATTGATATACATGTATATAAGTGATAGAATATTAAAAAAAAAATCTTAGTTTATGGAATAATTTATTCCAAATTATTAGTGAAAGACTGTTTTGGAGAATAACTAAAATATGATTACTTGATAAGATTTTCAATAAGGAAATAACAAGAGAACTAAGAAATGATAGAAGGGCATAAGCAAATAAACACATACGGATCAATGAGGGTGACATCTGCATTGAGATTGGAGAGACTTGACAAGCAAGGAACCACATACACCCCCTCCTATCATCACCACCCTCACCCTCTTTCTTCCTGCACTCATTTCTTTCTGCTCTTTCTTTTTGCTATTCAGTTCTGCAAAAAAAAAAAAAAGAAAAAGAACTTGTGGTGCTTATCTTGAAAGACTGGGGGAGTTTATAATGATCGATGCAATTTGCTTAAAATTTTGCCCGTTTGCATTGAGAATCTCGAATCTGACTACTTATTTCCAGGGTCATGTTGGCTGGCATTGATTGGATCAATATATTCCTCACGTGTGTCCTTTTTTTTTTTTTTTTCATTTGAAGTTAGATTTTTTTCCTTAAAATATTGGGCACTGCACAAGTGAAATTACTATTAAGCCTGTACTTCTTAATTCTAATCTTCTACTGCATTTCATAGAGGGTTAATATTTCAGGAGATCCCTGTTTTTATCTTAATCGTGTACATTTAGTAAATTTCTTATTAATATCATCCCTTAAATTTTATTTTATGTCTTAATTTCGTCTCTTTTCCTAAATTTTTAAATAATTGTGTGAAATCTCAGCAAAAGAAGCACAAAATCTTAACGTGTGTCATTTTTTAATTAAGTAAATAAATTTTGAAGTTGAAAAAATGAAAATTTCAAAAAGCCCTCCATATGCATATCTAAAATCCCCAAATCAAATTCAACTCTCCCCTCACCTAACTCTAATTTTCTCTCTCTCTTTAATTATGGCCTTGTTTCTGTAGTGATGGAGAATGGGTAATTGGTGGCTCTGCGAGCAAGGGAGAGGGCAAGATCTACATGTGGGAAAGGGCTGGACATCTCGTGAAAATCCTTGAAGGTCTAAAAGAGGCGTTGATCGGCTTGGTTTATATTATCTCCGTCTCCTTGACTGGCTTGGTTTGTATTTGGGCTAAGGACCATACTGAGATAGAACTAGAGTGCATTCGCCCCGGACTTCAGAGATGATGTAGAACGCGAAGATGAATTTGATCGATGTGATACCTGAAACTGAAAGGATGAACAAAACCAGGCTGGTTGAGCAAGTCTTCTGTCCATTTTTACGTTTGTCAAAGTATATGTATTCTTGCAGGTTAAAAAAAAATAATAATAATAATTAATTAATGATTACATTAATATTAGCCATTGAGATATACTTTGGGAAAAAAAAATTAAAGCATAAACTTTGTACAATATGATTTATGTTGGAAAAGCTAATTAATAATTACATTTAGCTTTCTTGAATTAATTAATTTCCCCTAATGATAACAGGAGGGACCATTTCGAGCATCTCCAACTCATTCCGATCTGGCTAGTGCTCCCCATATGATTTTGTTATCTAAAAATATTAATGTTGTAATTGGAGGTTTCTTTACAGGTACGTGTGGCTCAATAATCTCACAAACTAATGCTATTTCGTTTTGAATAAAATATTGCATGCCTTACAAAGGATATCAGAATCAAAATATTGCCTCTACCAGGATCAAACTAAAAGTAAATGGATAATTACATTATAAGTATATTAATTTTTTTTAACGATTTTTCAATTAAGTATATAACTTTAAATTTTTTTTAGTATATTAATTTTTTCAAAACTATCAATCAAGTATTTTTATCTAATTTTTATTAATTTCTCTCGTTATCTAATGATGTGTTATTTTCTCTGGACTAATAAATTATGATCTTGTTCTTTTATTTTTGGAGAAAATTTTTCCTTTTAAATTATTTTGATATTTTCTACTTTTTCAACACAAGAACAGTTTGGATATTTACTATATATAAAAAATAGATATAGCAAAACTTTTTGAGAGAGAAAGTTCCCTCTAAGAATAAAATGGCAAAATCATAATGTAGTAGAATGATAAAATAGACTAATTATCAAATAACCGAACAATTAGCAAAAATTGGATGAAAAATACATATTTATAGAGTTTTCTTTTTTCTTTTTCTTTTTTTTTTTAAAATTTTATCCCAATTGTTAGCCTTTAAGAATTCAATATCACTCTTTCAGTTTGATTCTCATATATTATGTATAGTTATAGATAATTCTTATATCAACATGGATTCATCACAATTTCAATTTAGTTCTCATTTTTTTAGAATTTTTCAATATTAATTGTATATATCGTGTTCAAAAAGTTTTACTTTATATAGCTCTATATCAGCATTGTTAAATAGTTTAGGAACATAACAAAATTTCCATTTTTTTTTCCATCGTTTTCTTTCACTTCTTTCTCATCTTCCCTCCCAGTTCTTTTTACAACTGATGATTCCTGAAATCAAAATTTTAAATTTATTGGAGGGTCGCATTTGGAACTCTTGTAGAGCCAGTTAAAATTGAGAAATATAACAAGTACGTAGTTTAGCTTTGACTTCTTTTTTTTTTTTTTTCTTTTTCTTTATACAGGAGATAAATAAATAAAACTATTTATTTAAAAGTAGCTGCACGTGGTAAAAATATATGTATACCAATAGAGTTCCTAGCCAAAGTTACACTATGTATATTGTGTATAAATATTCTCAAAGTATTAGGGTAGCATCAATTTTACATCTAAACTAATTTTTGTATCAATTTTATTATCAAATTATTTTAATTTTTCAATTAAGGAATTTTGTTAGAATCATTAGATGAAAAACGTTAAATTCTATACAAAATAACAACATTTTTTACACACACAAAAAAAAAGTACAAATAAGATATAAGTACAGATAAAAAGCATTAAAAATGGATGAAAGTTTTCAATCTAGCAGCCAAAGCTAGACAATATTCTAGCTCCTATAGATTCTACAATATTGCTCCACTTCACTCTTATTTTAACTCTTTTTCAATTTCAACTGTAATATGATTATAAAGATATTTCTAATGTAACCCTTAACCGGAAAAATAGATAAATGTTAATGATGATTACTTAACTTTTAATATTATTTTTTTAGAGCTTTTAGGAATGTGTTAAACTTATCTATTGAACGCATCAAGATTTGGGAGGGGAAAAAAAAAAAAAGAAAACATGAAAATACAAAACAAACAATTGGGCATTTGTTAGATTTGGTTAGCTATATAACAATGAAGAGTCATATTGAAACTTTTTGAAAAATATAAAATTGATATTAAGAGATCTGAAACTATAAGAACCAAAATGAAATAGTGATGAATCCATAGGGACTAAAATATTATTTACCCAAAAATAAATTCGTAAAAAATAGGATCCAAAATGAACATAGGGATCGCCATTAAAGCAACAATACAATTCATAGATCACCGCAATTGTGATATAAATCTGCAAAAGGATCAGAGGAAGGACTACGAGGCCTTAGGATGGCCCAAGAAAATACAAGAACTCAGCCCAAAATCGTAAAATCATATTTATAGAAAATGGACCATTGGGGTGGATGACATTTCTCTCCGTGCAAAAGCTGGAATCCTACAAGGACCCTGATTTTCGACCTTTTTTTTTTTTTCCAGGGTTTAGTCCCATTTCTTATAAAAAATCCTGAGTTCCAAAAAAGTTATTCTATTCGGTAAGCCAATGCAAAAACCATATTCTTCTTCTTCTTTTTAAAAAAAGAAAAAAGAAAAAAAAATATCAAGAGCCATAATCTTGTTTGCTCCTCTTTTATCTACCTTTTTTCAACATAACCTTTCCCCATGACATGACCCAAATATATGTAAACTAAAAAGACAAATCCCAACAAAGATTCTTTGCCTTTGCACTGCCATGGTAGCAAATATGCGTATCAATTGGATGTGGGTCCATCGGACCGATATTCTATTCAAACAGAGAAGGACTGGCTGAGAATTAATCAATTTTGGATGGAATTTACAATTTTGCATGCCTTTGGGAAGTCAGCATTTGAAAAGCCACTTAGAAAGTGCTGCATTTTAGTACCTATGCTTATGTGCACGATGTGAAAAATTTTATAATATATAAAGAGTAATTAGTGGTATATATAATAGATATTTCTTACTTCTTAGATTCATATTAGAAAATAAAAAATTTTGAATAGACGTAAAAATCTTCTTATCATTTTTTATAGTATGGACGTAATTTTTCTTTTTTTTTTGTCAATCTCTCTCCTCAAATTAGATTCAAAGAATAACTATCGTATATGTTACTAGTTACTCCTTGTATATTATACAATTTTTCCTGCACAATGCTATAGTTTAATATCTCTATAAATTATCAATTTAAATTTAATGTAAGCTGAACAATAAAATGCACATTATTTCGACAGAAATCAATGAGAAATAATTTATTTGGAACACGTGTTGTGTAGATAGATGTATAACTTCATTCAAATTTGTACTAATATCTTCTAACTAGACATAAATCACATTTTTTTTTTTTTGTAAAATAAATACAAATTGGACTTCTAAAAAGGTTGATTCAAATTTTGAGGAAATGATTTTTTTCAACTATGTAGATTCCAGTCTAGTCCGTTATTAATTCCTTTCGTAAACTAAAAAATTTATGTTTGACTAAATATCAAAGTTACCTAAATTTTTGTTTAGCTATTTTCAAATAACAAAATAATGAAAATTTGGATCAAAGTGGAAGTACCCCCAAACATGTACCATTGCACTAGCAATAATAGAAAAGATTGAACTGGCATAACCAATTAATTATACATTTTCAGAACTTAACTGCCATGGCCCAATCTTCCATGTTGGAAGTGCCATGTCCCTAATTTACAATTGAAGACTTATTGGAAACCTACGAGTCAACCCCCATCCCAAAGTAATTGAGATCTACATCAATTTCAACCATTTTGCCATTTATCTCTACACAACTATTCAAGTAAATATATATATATATATATATATATAGTTTCGAGTCTTTATTTTCCTCCTACTTTTTTAAACTTTTAAGATTCCAGCCTTTAACATCCTCCTACTCTCTGCCCAAATTTTTTCTAGTTGACTGAAACTGTAATGTTGGTAGGTTGGACAAACAACTACACACGTAAAATTCAATTTCCTATTTTTTCCCCTACTTTTTCTCCCTTTGATGCAGGGGGTGAGAGGTAGGGATCTTTAAATGTGACTAGGAAATACTAAGTTAATTTTTTTTTTTAATTTCCTACTCAATAAAAATAAGAAATAATTGAATAATTCAAGACAATTAAAAAATAATTTTAATCATTCAATTAAAGGAGATGAGCCAACATTATTATAATTTATTTTATTATATTTCCTAATTGGTCTTGTTGTATGATTATATAAACTCTACATGAGTTAGATTGTAATTCATTTAGTTATGCTGTCCGTCTGGCCACCTAAAAAAATACTTTGTTTTTAATCTTTTTTATTGTCTTTTTAATATTTTGTTTACTATTTTTTCTAATGACACATTAGCTCGTGATTTATTAATTTCTCTTACTTTAGATCTTTATTGGTCAAAATAGTTTTAAATATTTTTCGGTGTTGATTGATTATCGGAAAAGAAAAATCTAGAATGAAGAATGCAAAAATCAAAATGAAAATTAAGGAATCAAAATGTTATTTACATTTTCATACTATTTTTAGAAATACTAATAAGAAAATAAAATGAAATTTAAATTTTTTGAATATCTAGTTTTTAATACGAATACGAATGAGAATAATGATTAAAAAAATAATTTTATCAACTATAATGATAATAGAAATAATAAAAAATTATGATAGTGATGGTAATGAAAGTAGTTAATACACAATAAATAAAAATAATATATTATTATTTTGAAAAAAATTTATTCATTATTTTTATTCTTATTTTTTACGTAAAAATGAAGTTATTTGTAATTTTTATTTTTATTTTTATTCTTTATCCTCATTCTCAATCCGTATAGCTATAAGATGTAAGATACAATTTATATTCTTGTTCTCATCACTCCATTGCTATTGAATGAAACAACGTCTTAATGTTACTATTATTATTGTGAAAACAATCGTTTTGCCTTTTGTGAAATATTTTATTATTATTATTTTTAAATTTCTACTTTTTGTTGGTTGTTACGTTCGAGTAGCAAACCATGAAAATTAGAGTTGGAGTTTGATTCACGGAGCGTGATTGTTTACTCGTAATGTTTTTATGGTTAGAAACGTATAATAACCTTAACCTAAAATTTATTTATTAACTAGTTAAAGTCGTTTGTTGATGGCGATCATTTTAATAAATAGATGAGACTATGGTAACAATAGAAATGGTATTAATATATGTCAAACTCATGAAAATTAAAATTATTATCATGAGTTTGAAGGAGCATGTTAAGGAAATTAAAATTAAATTTCTTGATTTCTTCTTTTTATTGATTAGAAAATAACAAAAAAAAAAATTTGGATCCACTCTTTCCGTAACGAGATGCAAACCATGTCAACTACCTCTTAATTAAAGGCTGTCTTATCAGCTACTAGCCTCCTATAGGATGGCAAATGGGCAGTGTTCCTTTACCGACACACTTTTAGGTAACTTTCATGACTGTTCCTAAATTGGATGCCCTTTTCTTTTAAAAGCAATGGAGAGTTGTTGCCCCCATTTAATATAAAATCAGCATGCATATAGCTCCAGTTTTTTTGTTGAGTGAATTAGAAATTAAGCCTTTCAAGACCCTGAAAATTGACTAAATATTATACTACTGTTAAGCAATTAATTAGTTGAACGTCTCTCATGACAGTGACAAATTACAGCATAATCACGCATTAAACACAGCCAAAAAACTGCTCTCGAAAGTGAGGTCGCACCTTTCTCTTTTCTTCACCAACAATATTCAACTAACCCGCTTTTCCATGACTAATCCAAGATCAATTTCTCTTATGCCTAATATGGTAAGCTATCCTATCTAACCAATAACCCTCTTTTAATTTTTTACACTTTATTTTCGTTTTTTTTTCCCCATTTAATTTTGCAGGAGCAGCTCAAATGAACACTATCAGCGTAACATTCAACAAGTCGAGACTTGGCGTCATCTAATTTGTCCAAATTTTATATTTCTTGAAAAATAATTTGGCAACATCACAATCACAAAGCTATGGAAAAAAATAAATAAATAAAAAATAAAAAAACTCAATCACATCCGCAGGTCAAAAGTCCATAAAATTCGTATCAATTGATTGATGTTACTGTCATGCGTGCTTTCTTAAAAATCAATTCCTATCAATTTGACCGGTTTTGATTAGTGTTTATAACGTGTGAACAATCGTTAGACATCTAATTGACGCTAAACCAATTGTATTTAATTTTTAAAGCATCCGATTGAAAACAACACCCGATTGGGTTTAGGATAATCAGTGTAATTGTTGTTGCAGACAAACAATATTTTTGAGTTAGTTTACGGGCATCAATATCTTTTTTTCTTTTTTCTTTCGATTCAAAACATGTCATCTACTTCTAAACTAACAAATTTATGAAAAAAAAGTTTAATGTTTTCTTATAAAATAGAATGAGATTTCAATTTATTTTCATATTTTAATTGAGTCAACTTTATACTTATAAAATGTTTAAATTTTCAATTTATCATTCTATTAATTTTTTTCTTTCAATTGAATCATCTTAATTTTAAATAACCTTGATCTTTATAAGCATTCACGTGCAAAGTAAATCATATATAGGAATAGACCTCTTTTTTTTTATTTTATTCCTCTTTCCATTGGCTACCGTTTTCCTTCATTAAGATTTTCATTTTTGATATAATATTATGTCCTGTACAGAAATTGATTTGAACAAAAAAATTAACAGTAAAATAAATTAAAATTTTAATTATTTTATAAAAATAAAATTAATTCAGTTAAAAATAAGCATACAATTTTTTTTTTTTTTAAAAAAAAAACTCATGCCACAATCATACGTAGGGTGATTTCTTCTAAGAAAAATACCTATTCACAGCTGGCTGATCTTTAAGTACGATGTGAGATTTGCATGACGCCACGTTATCATCCAAGGGGTGCCTCCCTGCTGCAGCCTGAAGACTAGTCCACCAAAGTTTCCCCAGATGTGCGCGTCGTTTTCCCCATAACACGTGCGCATGTTAGCCAAGTCCATGGGATAAACCCGAAGGTAGCCACGTGGACCAATTAAGTACTGCCAGCTCAAAAAAGGCCCACAATATAAGGTTCAGTTTGGCATTTAGCAGACGTTAATGTTATGATTGGCAAGTGGAGAAGTCCCTATGAAGCAACACTAGCTTGGCGCACGTTAGTAATGAGGGGGAGCAAGAGGTGTGCGCAGCACATGGTGCTGAGATGAAGGAGAGGGGCTGACATAAATGGACTTGTATTGTATTTTTATGATCATGTGATGTGAAGTAAAGGCATCTTATCTGCTTTTGTATAATACGCTAATCATTGAATGAATCGTCAACTCACTTTACCATGAAATTTGTCAAATTAATAGTTTTGTTATCGTAACAAATGTAAATGGATCCTCTCTTTCTCCCTAAAAAATATTGTCATTTTTACTTTAATTAACAAGGTTATTGATTATTAGGATTAATGGCATGATTCATTCATTTACTCGTGACATTTTTTATTGTTGTCGTTTTATTTATTTATTATGTCATTTTATTTTTAAATTGATTTTTAACTAATATTTTAAACCAACGTGACATGTGGCAAAAAAATTAACACATATAATACCATGTCTAGAGTAATTGAACTTCTTTGCAAATCAAGTGTTGATAATGAACTAGGATTTTAGCGATTTCAATTTTTTTAAAAAATCTTTTATCACGTGGCAATTTTATATGAGATATTATATGTGTCAATTTTTTTTCTACCCGTTACATTTACTTGAAAAATAGACCGAAAAACAATCGGAGAAACAATATTAAGAAGATTTAAGAAATAACGAGACGAGATAAATAAATAAATAAAATAAAAGGATTGTATTAGGAAAATGTTAAAAACAAAGAAACGAATCATGCGATTAATTCTTAATTGTCATGACATATTAACATTCTTGTTCATAACTTTTTAAATTTATTTTAGAATTGTATTTGGAAATTTTATTTACATAATGGACTTTTAATTAGAGATATTTTTCTAAAAATATCACTTAAAAGTTTGACAGAATTAATAAAAAATTAATATTCTCATATAAAACGTAAGAAAAAAATAAATTAATTAGCAAAATAATAGAGATATTAAAATTTGAACAATGGATACTGTATGTAATCTATTAATTATCAAAATGGATAATAATTTAGTCAAAACAAATGGATGACTAAAATTTGATATAGAAAATAAATCATAGAGAATCTCTAAATGATCCGGTCATCTGCCCTCTGGGGCTGGGCAACTAAGGAAGATAATCAGCAAAAATATATGGGTAAGGAAATATTTTGAGTTTAATAACGGTTGCCGCCAGATAGTTGCAAAGACAGCAAGACAAGATTTATTTAGCCGAGACAAATCAGATTTGGTGGCGTCGATCTACACGAATCTTCTCAATAAAAATGTAATTCCTCTCAAATCCTAAATAAACAATTTTATCTGTTTTATTTATTAACCATCCCAAACGATAATTTGTTTTGCTCACATGTGAGCTTCAGTACCATAATAGCGTGTTACCATAATTATCATCATGATTATCAACATTAATTTAATCAAACGAACAAAAGGTAACGCTCTTTTGGGTAGGCTCTCATGGCATTACTTAGCTTATTCACATCGACAAATTTATTGACCAAACGCATTCAATATGCCGCTTTGCCATACCCATTTATTTGTCAATGCAGCAATGATATTTTTACTTGAACTACCACCGTGAATATATATATTTGAATTCATTTACATGTTACCATCTTACATCCACAAATGTCCACATCAAACTTTTTTTTTATTCAAGTTAGATTTGTTGCTAAAAAATGGATGTAATTGAACTGGTCACATTTGTAATAAAAAAACATTATGATTTTCATAACTCTATCAAATCCAAAAAATTAAAATATTTATGCAAATGAATTTAATCCGAGGAGAGAATAACGGAACTTGGATGTTCACAATCATTTTCCATATCGTCTAAACTTGCCTCTTGAAAGCCTCGTGGAAGTTAGAACCTAGTAAAAAATAAATAAAAAGAAACAGAAAACGCCAACAAAAAATCTCTTAACCATAAAGAGAAACCAGCTGTTAACGTCGGGGACCCATAACTCCACCCTCTGGTTTCTACTTGAAGAAAGTGAGGAAAAGACAGAGCGTTTACTTGAAAATTAATTAAGTACTGAGTAGTAGGATTATATTATGATAAATCCTGACACGCTGTTCATTAGCTAATTAACCAATAAGCTATATTTCTTTTCTTCTTTTTTAAATACACAGTTTCTTTCTCTTTTTATTTTAATATACTCCATTTGATGATAGATAAGTAGTAGTAGTAGTAGAAACTGGAAAGAGAGTGAAGCGAGTGAGAGAGAAAGAAATAAAGAAAGTGGATTAAAAGGCGAAAAGTTTTAGAGAATCAAACAGAAGCATAAACAGTTACGGCATTGTAAATCGATTTGCAGTTTGAGATCTATGAAGAAGAAGGGTCGGCGCTGGAGATTCAGATTATTATTTTCAAGCATTTTGAATTGAAGAACAAAATGCGCTTGTGATTTTGAGAGAAATAATTGAAGAAGAAGAGCAGATCGAAAGAGAAATGGAGTCGCGAATGGATCAGTATGAGATCATGGAGCAAATCGGTCGTGGTGCTTTCGGTGCTGCCATTCTTGTTCATCATAAATCCGAGAAGAAGAAGTAACTCTCTCTCTCTCTCTCTCTCTCTCTCTCTGCTAATCTACTGTTTATTTTAGTAATTTTTGCAATGTATTGTTTTATTCTGTTTTTTTTTTTTTTTTTTTGGAAATTGTTAGGTATGTGTTGAAGAAGATCAGGCTTGCGAGACAAACTGAGAGATGCCGGAGATCTGCTCATCAAGAAGTAAGTCTCAGTGTTTCTAATATTTCCTTAAAATATTTTTAATATTGTTAGGTTTTTTTTTTTTTTTGGATGGAAACATTGAAAATATGTGTAATGTGTAGATGGCGCTGATTGCGCGAATTCAGCATCCGTACATTGTAGAATTTAAAGAAGCATGGGTTGAGAAGGTAAGGCTTTTCTAACTGCGGAAATTTTCGAGTTATATTTATGGAATTGAGCTGATTATGGTGATTTGTTGCCTACACATTGTAGGGTTGCTATGTTTGTATTGTTACTGGATACTGTGAAGGTGGAGACATGTGAGTTTAGTATGAGTATTAGAATTTGAATTATAAGGTTTTGAAATTTACAAGACTGAATCGTTTTGTTCGTTTTACAATATGGTGATAGGGCTGAATTGATGAAAAAATCGAATGGTGTGTATTTTCCTGAAGAGGTAAGTAATCATAATTGCTTGTTATTTCTTCTTCTTTTTGAAATTTTATTTTTGGGATTTGACTTATATTATTGTTGATGATTGTGAAAATTGTTCAGAAACTCTGCAAGTGGTTCACTCAACTGCTGTTAGCAGTGGAATATCTGCATGGCAATTATGTTTTACATCGGGATCTGAAAGTAAGTAAAATAAGTATTTGGAAGGATTTTGAATTTTTCTATTGCTTTTGGAGGTGTTATAGACTGAACTTATGAAGAAATCTCTTTGCAGTGTTCCAACATCTTTCTTACCAAAGAACAGGATGTTCGTCTTGGTGAGTTGCTTTTTTATCAGCATTTAATTGTTGTATCATTCAATTTTTATGTTTGTGTCTTGATTTTGCTTGTCTTTTTCTTGGTACTATCTAGGGGATTTTGGACTTGCTAAGACCCTGAAAGCAGATGACCTGGCTTCGTCGGTATGAGCTATGCTTTTTCTTATATTTGGTTTTGGGTCTTTTGCCGTCATTTGTTTATTGAGTACAGAGAAGGGGTTATGCTACAATTGTTTCTCCTTCAGTATTTTCTCTTTTTCTTTTCTTTTTTTAACTGGTAATAATTTTCTCAGAAATAGAATATATATGAAATATGAGCATGTGGAACCATCTCATTTTGAATCCAGGGCTCATTACATGAAGATTACAATCTTGCTATCAAGCTAGCATGGTTGCAATATACTGTGATATGTGTATCTAGGAATTTCTTGTTTGGGGGGACTGGTAGAAATGCTGCATTTTTCTTTACTGAGTGCACATAATATCAGGTGGCTAAAGTTTTGTTATTTTAATTTTACCATGGAATTAAACTCGATAGTCAAACTCAATTGAGATGCAGATGTATTCTCATCGACAGATCTTACGTTTATTGAAATCTATGTTGTTTATGAGAAGATGCTGTATTGACTGTTTTAATAACACTATTTTTTGTGATCCTAAATTTAATTCATCAAATTGCTTTTTCAATTAATGTAGCTTCTTCATCTACCAAAAAAGAAAACCTGTATAACAGTTAAAATTTGCTAAAAAATAATATGTAGGATGTCCAGGCTTAATTTGCTATCAAATTCCTTTTCCAACTCTAATGTAGTTTCTTTAAATACCAAAAGAGAAAACCTGTATAACAGCTAAAATTTACTACAAAATTATATGTAGGATGTCCAGGACGAGTTATTTCTCAATTGTATGTTATCCCGTCAAACTAAAAGTAATTTGTTGTAAAATCTAGTAAACTATTCTGAATAGTCAGTGGGAAATAGAGCTTAAGCCAAACTGAAAGAATAAATGAAACCTGTAAACATGCTTGCTCCTTAATGATGAAGTTAATTGCCCCAGACACCAAGGAAGTTACTGAATACAGTATACTATAAAGAAAGAGACATAATAACTATAGGCATTTCCAATTATCCACCTTGAATTAATAGTTCTGTTGTATCTTTATGTGCAGGTGGTTGGAACTCCTAATTACATGTGTCCTGAACTGCTTGCAGATATTCCTTATGGTTTCAAATCAGATATTTGGTCCTTGGGTATGTGCTTTCTAGATCATATATGAGATGCTTATTACTTGTTTTAGTGTCTTGCTAAAACGCTTCTCTGTTGACTAGGGTGCTGTATGTATGAGATGGCTGCTCATCGTCCCGCTTTTAAAGCCTTCGTAAGATTTCCCATGGTTCTTTTCACATTATATATTTTATTTTTGGGAAATTTGTTGAAGTGATGGCTCTTTGGTCCCTACAACTTGTTTAATTCGTAGATCATGATATGTCATTTGATCTTTTACGAACAAGTTGTGTAATTTATTACTGGAATTGTTCGTCAGTACGATAATATCTTCCATAACACAGTAAAGGGAAAATGAAATTCACTGGTATCTTTATTATCAATCTGTTTATATTTTTGTTATGTAATGCAACAGAATGACACAACATTTACTTTTGTAAGTAGTTCCTAGAGTTTAATAGTCACTGGAATTTTTAAAGCATTTGGAATAATGTAATGAGCCATTCATGGCTTTTGCTAGATTATTATGCCGTGGAGTTTACTTGGAATGAAATAAGTATAATACCTTTACCAGCGGACTTACTGTACCTTTGTTTTGGTATATCAGGAGGCCTTATGGTCTTTGAGCCTCACAGTAGAGGGTTGCCCCATACCTCTCTAAATTGCTTCTATCCTGGGTGTGAGCGGGATTTGATCCCATATTGCTTGGTGTGATGCCAAGTGACTTTACTTACTAAGCTAACTAGCACCCATGACCTGCCAATATTTTAAAAGCATGAATGCTATGTAATTTCAGCATAATATATTTCTTCAGAAATAGGAATCGGTTTGGGTTCTTTTTGCCTTCATTCCTACTCCAAATTTTCAGAGTTCACTTCGGCATTGCTAATGATGTAGGGCTCAATGTCAACCTCCTTGTGAAGGCATTGTTTACTTGATTGACTTCATCTATATCTAATTGTACATGTTTCTTTATTTTGATTCACTTCCTATTATGTTTCTTTATTTTCATTCACTTCCTAATTGCCCCTATATGTCAAATTTGCAGGATATGGCAGGATTGATAAGCAAGATAAATCGTTCTTCTATTGGCCCGTTGCCTTCCTGCTATTCTCCATCTTTGTAAGTCTCCATGAAATGTTGTAAAGCTTATTGCTTGGGTAATTGGCAATAAACAACATTCACCTCATATTGCCTATCTTGATGCTTTACTTAGGACTTGACTAGGCAATCGCTATTTTTCATTAGGATTTAATGGGGATTCCCATGGTAATTGACTTCACATGCATCATCGGCAAGCTAGAAAAATTTCATACTAATTTTTCCTGTTGAACAAATTTGCTCTGAGAAGTAGCTTCATCTTTTCTACCTGTCATTTTCCCTTCATACTACTTCCCCTCGAGGCTTAATAACGAACAGAAGACTAGATTTTTGAAAATGATGTGGTGGATCTCATTTGAGTTCTGGAAATTTAACTGCTTTACCTCAAGGAAATTGGATAGCTTTGCTGTTTTTGTTTTGTTTCTGTCCATTGTCCTGTATGTTGATGACGATCCACCTTTGAGTCACTGCTTAGCTTTGGTATTAAATGTGTTTAACTGCAGGAAGACACTCATTAAAGGCATGCTGAGAAAGAATCCTGAGCATCGTCCAAACGTAAGACTCTTAAAAATTTTTTTTGCCAACTTCAGAAATTCGCCGTTACAGGACTTCATCTTAACAATTTGCATTTCCATTGGTTAGGCATCCGAGATTTTGAAGCACCCATATTTGCAGCCTTATGTTGATCAATACCGTCCATCCTTCAGTCCTCCAACATCATGCTTTCCTGAGAAACCTATTCCTAGAAGTCGTGAATCTAGAAGAAATATGGCTGAAAGCCAGAACAGTAATAGTTCTAGTAGTGATAAAGATAGTTTGCTTTCAAGTGATCGAAATATCCCAGCAATGATCTCAAATTGTGAAAATAAAGCCACGGATACACATTTAGCTTCTGTTGATGATGAAGATGGGACTGAACAGCTCATGCCATGCGAAGAAGAAAAGAGCCCCAATGTTTGTGTTGTCAAAATGGATGAACAGAAGGTGATGAAACCCTGTCATGACGAACATGGATGCAATGTGGAACCAAAGCAACCGAAAACTATCAAAAGTATTATGATGGCTTTAAAAGAAGGAAAACCTAGAGAAAATGGTTCCCCTATGAGAGGAAATCGTACCAAAACCGGAAGAAGTAACATAGAAGCATCTCCTAAAGTTCTTAAACCTAATGCCCTTGCTTCTGGTTTAAAGTCTAATGCAGATACACCAACTGTAGCACCAGTAAAAGCAGCCATGGATTCTGCAAAGCGGATCCAGGGATCACATCCCTTGAAACACCAGGTATGATCAAAATTAATCATGTTTTTTTTTTTCCTAGTTTGATAACCGTGTTGAAATAATCATTTACTTTTCAAATAACTTTTGCAGTTACCTATAATTGAGTCCTCACCGAAGACTAAACCCAGACATGATGGGATTCCTCCACCTGGTCCAATTAAACATGTTGATGATGGACTTGCCATGAAGCCAAGGCAAAGAACTCCTCCTAATCTATTTAGGCGATCTTCATTTCCTGGAAGGACAAGACAGACAGGAGCTGATGTTCCAAATGGAAATGTGAAGTTGATTCCAACTGAGGGAAACCAAGAACCTGAAAATAGTTCTTATCAAGTGCCTGATGGTCACCCATATTTTTCTAAGGAGGTATCGCAGGAGTCTCAAAAAGCTTTAGTTGGAGCTTGCAAAGGAATGCAGACAGAAAGCAGTAATTCTGTCTCATCTTCAGTGTCAATTCAAGCTTTTGAGATTTGTGATGATGCAACAACTCCATTTGTTCCCATGCCTGAACAGGCTCTTCCTAATCATGAGGTAGTGATCTGCATGGAAAACTTGGAACAATGTCCACGCAGCTGCTCTCCTGCTAGCACTTCGCAATCTGGCATGTCTGAAAATTTGTCTGGGGAAAACAGTGAACGTGGTCATAAATCTGTACAATGCTCAGTGGAAACGATGGATGTTGTCGTAGATCTTCACAAGAAGACCACTGTTGGTGATGGGAGAGAGGGTGAAAGTAGTGCTCTGAATCTGACCGCCCCAAGTTCTGAAGAAATATTTATTTGTAAAGATAATACCCAATTGAGCAGGCCATGTACTGGGCCTGATATTGTGCCCCATTCAAATCTTATATCTGCATCTGGTGATGATGACAAGTTCACAGTAAGAGAACTTTTATCATCATTTTCAGAAACCACTCCTTCCATTACCTCACCAATGTCAACTAGCCAAAAAAATTTGCCATCAGAGAAAGCTACCATTTTACAAAATTCAGCTGTTGATAAGCCCACTGCTGCCCATCTGTCTCCTGCTTTTGATGATGTAATACATGTTATACGGCACAGTAGTTTTCGTGTTGGGAGTGAGCAGCCAGTTATGGAAACTGTGGAGATGGGGGTTCAAAATGTGGATGTTGGAAAGCTATTAAATGTAGTAAAAGATGAATTGGAGATGAGAAATGTGAGTACAGGGATGACTCTTAAATCATCAAATTGCTCTGAAGCTGTGAGTTTGAAATCAAGTCTTCCAGATCATTCTGGCATTAAAGAAATGGATGTGAGAAACGTCAGCCCATCAGTCCCACAATCTGATATTTCTGAGCTACCAAAATCCAACTCCTCCAGTACTGAAGAGGAAGCACCGGTAAAGGAAATTTTGGATGTTAAATCTTTTAGGCAGAGGGCAGAGGCACTTGAAGGACTTCTAGAATTATCTGCTGAGTTGCTTCAGCAAAGCAGATTAGAAGAGCTTGCAGTTGTTTTAAAACCATTCGGGAAAGATAAAGTTTCTCCAAGGGAGACAGCTATCTGGTTAGCTAAGAGTCTTAAAGGAATGATGATTGAGGACAGTGGACGGAGTTCATGAATCATGATATCCATGGTAAGTGTGCTCAAGTTCTATGTGCATTTACATTTGCCTTGTAATTTTAGTTTTTTTGTTATGATTTTCGCACATTCAAGTTCCATTGAATTTTTACATAAGAACAACCAGGCCTTCTCTCTCTTTTTTTTTTTTTAATTCTTTCTTTCCACTTTGTCCTTGTACATAGTGACCATACAAATTGCATAGCTTTGTATTCCGGACAAATGTATGGATATGCTGTGGTAATTGTTAAATATAAGTGCAAATGTTTTTAAGGCAAGTTTATAGTTCGTTTTGGTTGATAAAGCTTTTCTGTTTATGATCAACTGATTCTTGGGTACGTTTTAATAGTGATGATTGATTCCCATAATAGTTTGAAAACAATGTAAGCCATTTGTTGGTCAAGTCTGCAGGACATTAACACTGTACATTCATTACAACATCGATACAAGTATGAAGATCAATGTGTTGTTATTTTGGCTTAAGTCTACAGGATGTAAACATTTATCATTGCCTCATTGGTTGCAACATCAAGGTGAGTAAGTAGACTATCATTGTTTGTACGTGGTTAGTGGTAACCAAGATATGGTCAGAGCGGTAAAAGCAAAGAAGACGGATCGACTGCACCCAACTCTTCTTTAACTCCAGCAATATTACGGTTATGAAACAGAAGGAAATTGATGTGTCATCATCCTCGTAAAACCAAGGGGGTAAGATATGTAGCAGTGACAGAAATGAAACTTGCAAGAAGTGTGCACTTCCTAAAGATTAATACTCCCTGAAGCGTTTCCGTCACATCTGTCCCATAAATGTCTATTTTTGAAAACGTGAATTAATTTTCACTGTATATCGTTTGCTTACAAAAGGGGAATATATATATATATATACACACAATAAATCAGAATCCCTATTAATTCTACGTCAATAATTCTATACCTTATATGATCTACCTTCCAAATATATAAGGATGAGGTTAGGTTATTCATATATATAAAAGTGCAATAAAAGAAAATATTCTAATAACAAAGGAAAAGATTCTAATTGAATATTTTTGTCTTTACTTTCCTTTAAATTGGAGCATGGAGATTGAAAACATCCAATGTGATGCCCCGGCTCCCTTATCTATTACTTAACGAGCATGATCGGTGCGACATACTCGTTGGGACTAAGTCCTCTACTTCCTCCATCATACATAACGTAAACTAAACTATGGGAAACGTATGATATAATATACAACATTATTTCGGATAGTTTTATAATTTATAACATATTCAAAATGCCTATAATTTTACAACCTAGGCCCGTATCCCTTTTTAATGACACAAAAGATATTTCTACTTTTATGAGTGACACGTGAGCCTCTTTTAACGAGAACCGATGGCATCCTCGATCGAGCTTAACTTTGCCCTTGCACGAACAACACACAAATACAATAGTAGAATGAGCCAAAGCTCGGTAAGTAGGGTGATGCAAGTGATATGCAATGCTATTGTGTTTCTCATATTTTCATCCATTTTAATCCGGGTACCCTAGGTATATGCAAGTCCGTGCGCCCAATCTCTCGGTGATCGTGTTATCACCTACTCGCTCTATTACTTTCTCTCGGTGATCTCAATATCACCTATCGCTCACAACGGAATTATCCCTCGTTGTAGCACACGGTTAACGGAATTATCCCTCGCTTAACGGTGTTAGTAAATAGAGCTCGCACTATGGATTCCTTGCTATTACCCAATCCACTCAATTCGATTACCAAACCGTGTCAATTCAAGACTCAATGATTTTTCTCAATTTATTTCCACCCCCGATGCACATGATACACATGATGACATGTTTAATCACATTCAACCAAACTCGGGTACCGACCTTTCTTTCTCGAGCCATACTCACGGTTCAACCATCACTCGGGATTGACTCGGCGCTCACATACCAATCATGGTACTCATAGCGGGAACACAACCTCCGCTCATTAATATTGTTTATTAGTTTCATTAATAATTAAAGAAGGTCCAATTCTTTTTTTTTTTATTTCCTTTATGAAAGAATAAATTTTTTAAAAAATTTTAAAATCCTTTTTATTTCTATCTAAGTCCACTTATTTTAGCCTAAGCCCATTTTCGTTAGTCTAAGCCCATCTACTTTAAAACCAAACCTTTTGATTTTAGTCCAAGTCCATTACCAAGTTTATTTTATTTAAGTCCAAGCCCAAGTCCATTTGTTTTAATCTAAGTCCATTTTATTTTTAAATCCAAGCCCATCTCATTTTAACTTAAGTCCAAGCCTATTTATTTTAATCCAAGTCCAAGTCCATTTGTTTTAATCTAAGTCCACTTTATTTTTAAATCCAACCTCATCTTATTTTAATTCAAGTCCAAGCCTATTTATTTTAATCCAAGCCCAAGTCCATTTGTCTTAATCTAAGTCCACTTTATTTTTAAATCCAAGCCCATCTCATTTTAACTCAAGTCCAAGCCCATTAATATTAGTCCAAGCCCATTTATTTTAATCCAAGCCCAAGTCCATTTGTTTTAATCTAAGTCCACTTTATTTTTAAATCCAAGCCCATCTCATTTTAATTCAAGTCCAAGCCCATTTATTTTAATCCAAGTCCAAGTCCATTTATTTTAATCTAAGTCCACTTTATTTTTAAATCCAAGCCCATCTTATTTTAATTCAAGTCTAAGCCCATTAACATTAGTCCAAGCTCATTTATTTTAATCCAAGCCTAAGTCCATTTGTTTTAATCTAAGTCCATTTTATTTTTAAATCCAAGCCCATCTCATTTTAACTCAAGTCCAAGCCCATTAATATTAGTCCAAGCCCATTAATATTAGTCCAAGCCCATTTATTTTAATCCAAGCCCAAGTCCATTTATTTTAGGTTAAAATTTTTCAGCAGTGGCACACCTAAACAACCTATACCAAACCAGCCATAACTCCTTAAATATATATCTAAAACTCACGAAAGTTTAAGAGGAGATATTAGACATATAGATCAACAACTTTCATTCTTTAAGTTTCCTCCAAATATCATTCTAAAATCCTTAAATAAGTCACACAAGTTTCGAAACTAAATAAACTTTTTCAGTAGCTGGTCCATTCAACGACCCGTACCAAATCAGTCATAAATCCTTACATACAGATCTAAAAATCATGAAATTTTATATACATCTAGTAGACACACAGAGGAACAACGTTCCTTCTTTGAGTTCTGCCCAAAAACCACTCTATGATCCCGAAATAAATCGTACAACTTTCGGAATAAAATATTTTTCCAGTAGAGGTTCCATCCGAACGATCCATACCAATTCAGTCATAAATCCATATATATATCTCTAAAAGTCACGAAATGTTAAAGGGACATAGTAGACACATATATCAACAACTTTCATTCTTTGCATTTTTTCTAAAAATCACTATAAGATGTCAAAATAAATCACACCAAGTTCGGGTTTTTCCACTCCTAAAATCCGAAAATCTTCTCTTAAAGCACATTTCTCAACACACATGCTTAACCATCCATCATCAAACATCAAGTATTTAAAATCATCACAAATACCATAATCACATTTCACATGAATTAAATAACTCATAAAATAAACATGGAAAGCATAAACAAAGCAAGAAAAAAAAATGAAACCTACTTACATTGGATTAACTTTCCTAAAATCTCTTTTGCTTCCTTTTAGTTTTCCCTTCTTTTTCCTTCCCTTTTTTTCTCTTTCTCCCCTCTCTTTGACTCTTTCTTTCTTGGTTTTAAGGCAGCTACGGGATGCACCAAAAATGCATCTTTATCCCATTTTTTCTTACTTAAATATCTCACCTAATCTTATCCATTTAATGTTCATTACAAGTGTCAAGAGCTTGTGGTGAAATGCAAGGTAAATGTGGCTGAAATTAATGAAATGATGAGTTTAAATTTCAAGGAAGAAGATGTGATGGTCAATGAAAATTTGTAAAAAGTAGGGGCCAAAATGTGATTAAATGAGGGTAGTTAAATTAATTATATTATCGAATTCCTACCGAAATTTTGGCAATTAGCACTTTTTTTTCTTTCTAATTTATACTTATTCCATATAAAAGAAAATTTCTAACTAATTTACCCAACGTTTTTTTTTTTTTTATAAATATTGACGTATACCCGTTACTCTCAACAAATACGTACATACCACATATTCCAAGACATATGTTGATCCGGTTACATGATTTTCACGTACGTAACTAATATATATATATATATATATATATATACACGATTATGAATTTTACGAGGGTTACATCCAATGTGTTAAACAACGACAAAAATCAATCCCAATTGAGAGCCTTAGTGAAGATATCGGCTAATTGATATCGAGAAGAAATTGATCGGAGCAACAAAAATCTTGGACTGAATATATTATTGAACAAAATTGACAATGGATCTCAATAAATTTAATCCGTTCATGGAAGACAGAATTAACGACAATGTAAAGTGTTGTTTGACTGTCACAAATTAAAAAAAACATAATCAGAATGAGAAACCTTTAAATCCGAGATTAGACGATGAACTTTGTCGTCATTGTGCCATTAATTTAAGATTTACTCGATCAATCTTTGTTATGTCAGTCATCCATAATTGACGGTTTATGAGGATCAAAACAAAGTCACGAGCACAGGATTTTGTTTTGTTTAGTTACTAACCCACCTTGGGTAGCCCAACGGCAAAGTTGGAAGTTTCCTTTGCTGAGCGGCCAAGGGTTCGGCTTACATCTTTGCTTCTGGAATCATACCATGATTCAACCTGTCTAAGAACTCTGGACTTGTTTGCTGGCTCTGGGGGTCTGTAAAGTCTGTGATAGAAACCCAGCCCAAAGTGCTCGTCCAGGTATGATTCCATCGTTATGAAAAAGTGAAAAAAAGACAGAAGCAGCAGCTGGGAAGATGCTGCAAGGAAGACTGAAGTCGCTCGCCTTCGTGGAGTTTCCTTGCTTTTCAGTGACGGGTAAACACTCTATATTACCTGGA